TTAAATACGGAATTATCACAATTTATGGAATTGCCAATTTGTAAACAATCATTTCATAGGCAATACTACAATCAAGTACAAAAATATCAGTTTTTCAAATAATGAGGCAGACATTTGCATATGAATTTTACAATGTCTAGATATTAAAAAACAGTAGAAGGAAATCTCATAATTTTACTAAAAGCGGAAATATCACCTTTTTTTTAATAATTTACAGTATTTAAAATTCTGAACAATAGACAGGAAAATTATAAATTTATTTCTAATAATTTACAGTATTTAAAATTCTTAACAATAGATAAAATATCACAATTTTACTAAAAAGATTATTTTTCAAAACAATGAGGTCACTTATACACAGCTTATAAAATGAATATGCAGGACAGAAATATCACTATTTATTAAAAACTGACTATTTTTCAGAAAAATACGATCACTTACCTATAATATTTGAGAGGGAACTTCGATAAAATTCGGCTAGAGAGAGAAGAGCGGTGAGAGCACTATGGATAAGATCTTGGGAGGAAGTAAAGTTTTGGATTCGAAAGAATAGCATGGGTTGTAGCACATGAGGTTTTCAACTGTCTATCGCATATGAGAGATATTTAGGTTGTCTCAAGAAATTTTGAATAGATAGAGGAGGCTGGTGATTTACGATGTTCTCAATGGAGAACCTGAACATTTCAGCTATGACAGGGGATAATGGGTAGGTAGAAGGAACAATTGTAGAGAGAGAATATACTAGATAGAAGAAAGAGGTTAAAGAGAGAGAATATAGTGAAAACAAAATGATAACTTAGAGAGAGAGGATCAAAATGATAGAGAGAAAGTACGGTACCAAAAAAAGACTTTTCACTGACACTCCTTAGATCAAAAGAAAACTTTTTTATAAAGCATCCATGTATGATGCAAAGCATGCCACATCATTTAAAATGTTAAACTGAAACATTTGGTAATGCCACGACACAATATGACAATTAATGCAACATGTTATGGAGGCACGACAGCCTCACCATGCCCAATACGCTCGCAAGAATAAAAGTTTTAGAACCTTTACATTCAATTATGGTAAAAGAGCTGATGGACCAAAGTTGCACATTAAGGAAATGGACTAGCATCAAAATTTTTGAAAAAACAGTAGCTTTGAATTATTAAATCAAATATACAAAAAACGTGGGTCCATATTTAAATTGAGGGGTAATTTTATGTAAGAGAAAAAATGGTCCTTATGGTGCATTTTGTCACCATGAATTATCATTCTAAATATTTCATTATGTATTTTATTTTATTTCATTTATTTTTATTTCATTTATTTATTTTTATTGTATTTATTCTATTAACACTATTATTATTAGTTTTCAGTTTTTTTTTTAAATAATAATTTACAGTCGTCATATCAAACGTTGTAAAATCGATGCTTGCATTCTTGTGAATGTTTTGATATCCTTTAATTGTTGAGGAAGAACCCAAAATCTCACCAAGTTCATGAACTCTACAAATTTAACCATTAATGTAGTTCGATTTGTTATTTTTATTTATTGGATGATTAGATTTTGGATAAAAAAAGTTATTTTTCTATATTATTTTTTGTGTCATTTATAGGGCACTTACATATACTCACATTACATGTGTTTTATAAGATTCTATTATTTATAGAATATTTTATATTCCCATATATTTCATTTAATATTTAATTTATATTATGAGGAAACTTTATTTATTTGGATATTTTATGGCTTCCTTCTTATTTTGTGTGTTTCCATTATTAAATTGAAAAATCATGATAATTGTTTGACAATATATGTATTTTTTAATATTGATAGTATGTGTAAGGCTTTAAACGTTTGCATCAAATTAGTATTGTCATTTCAAGTTTGTGGGAGTTTTGTATATTATTATTAATCATTATATTCTCAAAATATTATGTTTACATTTTTACAAAAATGTGGAGTATGATCCATAAAAACATGTAATCAAAAGTTAAATTTAATCTTTAAAATGTTATTTTAGATTAATTTTGGATTTCTTTTTTAATATGCTTTCTCTCCCGAGATGTTTCTCCCCATTTTTATGACATCTTAATATGCTCTCTCTAATTATATATTTCTCCTTATTTTCATGTATTCTTACTCTTTTTTAATATTATTAATAGTTTTTATTTTTCAGATCTTTCTCTCTATGAAATGTTTCTCTATTTTCCACCATAGAGAGAGACAAATTTCAATTGTAAATGCAAGTTATAAATGGAATTGTTATCATATTTTGAAGTTTTTGAGATATATTTATAAATTCTATTTTTCTAGAATAATATTTACTTATAAATACATAATACAATTAATGGAAAAAGTTTATATAAGGCTGCAACCTTAAAATGTAGAATTAAAAATGCACATAAAAAATCCATTGAAAAAGGTTGTTTTAATGTTGAAAAACCCTATAATTGATCATCTTGACATCTCGAATATGAAAAAAAAGAATATTTTGAGTCTCAAAAATAGTGCATCTTACAACACATTATCTAGACCGTCCAGGATTTTCATATGTTTATAGATCTACTTGATTTTAACCATTTTTGGAGTTTAAAATTTCATAATTACATTTGAAAATAGATTTTCGGGTGATCCTAATAATTTTTTACAGCCAAATTACATGATAAAATTTGGAAGTGGGCCTTAATTGGATTGTTTTACGGTCGCAACCTTAAAGGAACCACACCCATAATTAACTGAATAGAAAACTTTACATATGACACCACCCACATATAAAGTATACATGACCCTTGCTCTCAACGGTCCGATTTCAGAGAGCAAGCTCTTGAGCGTTAGATCTTGATCCAACAGCTCAGAGTGTTTTGTTTTGTTGTAAAAATTAATTTGTAGCGAAATTTGGGACATACAGACATCTAATAGGGCGCACATGTTAATAATAAAAAAAACCTCATGATAAAAATTACGATAATGCCCCAAAAATTCATAGGGGCATTTTGGTCATTTAATTTTCAAGGTATCCAAATTTCGATGTACTTTTTTTCTCACTCTTTCTTAACTGCATCCCTACTTTTTAAATTGATTTTAGATTTCTTTCTTAAATTCTTCTCCATATTTCGAGGTACTCTCTCTATCTTATATGCTTACCTATTTTTTAGATTTTTTCTCTCTATTTTCATGCATTCCTACCCTATTTCAATATCATTAAATGCGACCTACTTTTTTAATATCTCTCTCTCTCTCTCTCTCTCTCTCTCTCTCTCAGGAGAGACAATTAATAATTAACTGTAAATATAAGTTATAAATAAAATTCTAATTGTTTTTTGAAGTTTATGAGACATGTTTTTTGTATTTTTTATTTTTATAATTTTCTAGAAAACTATATAATTAGAAGTACATAATATATTTAGAAAGAATTTTGGAGTTGGACACAACATATGAACTTGAAAAATGTTAAATAAAAAATATAAAATAAACCAGAAATGCTAATTATATAGGTTAATAATGTAATATTGCCTAGGGAAAAGTTAGTACTTATAATGGCAAATGCAAAAAAATAAAAGATAATTCCTTGTCTATTTTTCTTTTACTACTTACATATAAAATTATATTTTCTGCATAAGTAAAATTTATTTAATAGTTGATTATGTAATTGTAAATACTTAAAATAGAAAAACTTGAATAATAATTAACTATAAATGAAAAATTATAGAAGTAATAACATGATTGACATTATTTTTTGAAGAAATAAGTACCTCAAAACTCAAGTTATGGAAGTATAATAAAATAATTAAAATTGTAGTATTACTATAATTAGTACCAAGAAAAAAAAACTAATCCTTCAATTTCTTTATTCATTGTGTTTTCTTTTTTTGTTTCTTTCATTTTCTATCTATATTTTTCAAAATCCAAAACTAAATTGGAAAAAAAAGAAGAAAAGAATGTACCATGAAAGAAAAAAAAAAAATAGTACCAACTTATGATCAGTTTTGATTGCAATGGATATCTATTATGACTTTATTATAAGAATTATATAATATATTTTTATATTATTATATTTACCTAGAAGTAAATAGTATATGTATTATTATAATTAAAGAGAAAAGTTTATATAAGGTTGCAACATTAAAATGTAGAATACATATGCACCTCAAAAACTCTATCGAAAAGGTTGTTTTAATGTTGAAAAACCCTCTATTTAAACATCTTGACATCTAGATGTATGAATATAAAAAAAAAAGCTTTTGATTACATATGCACCTCAAAAATCTATTGAAAATGTTGTTTTAATGTTGAAAAACCCTTTATTTAATCATCTTGACATCTAAATGTATGAACAGAAAAAAAAAAAAAGAAAAAAAAATTTGAGTCTAAAAAATAATGCATCTTGCTGCACATTATCTAAGCCATCCATTTTCAAGATTTTCATTTGTTTATAGATCTCCTTGATTTTAACCATTTTTGGGGTTTAAAATTTTCTAATTAGATATGAAAATAGATTTTAAGATAATCCTTAATATTTTTTACAACAAAATTACATGTTATGATAAAATTTGGAGATGCGCCTTAATTGGATTGTTTAGGGTTGCAACCTTAAAGAAACCTCATATTTTCCAAAATAATACTCACTTATAAGTATAATATATATATATATAACTAATTTAATGAATGATATGATTAGAAAAAAGAAAAAAAGAAAAAACATATAATAAATAAAGAAGCATTTGAGCTTTAATTCCAAACATAAATAAATAGAATATCTTAAATTAGTTCACTATATTATTTCTCAATTATTCCTATCAAATGAGACCTACAAAGTAATCCACCTTCTCTCAATAATTATGTTAAGATAGAAACTCTCTTTCTCTATAATCATCGAACGTCCTTTTAAATTATCATTTCAAAATAAATAATTATTTTTATAATTAACACGAGCATATCACTAGTTTAATTTAAACATAAGGGCAGAAGGAATTTATTGGGATGGATTGATTACCATGGAAACACCATCCAGCCAGCTTAACCTACCTTAAAATACCAGTAATAAAACAACCACATGCAGTTGGGTTGAAGATAAATGTTTCCTTGCTTCAATCCAAGTACGTAAGAGCCACATGCCTTGGGATCATCCAATGCACCTTCAACTTTTTTTTTCAGCAGCTGCATTCAAACTACAATAATGGACAAGTGCGTCAAGCAAGTTCCCGATGAGCGTAGCACCCAACAACAAGCGCATTAGCACACCTTTTTAAAACTCCCCTCCATGGGCTAAACTAAAGCCAGCCCAGGCCCCAAAGGCAAAAGGCAATTACAAAAAGAAAATAAACATCACAGAGAAAAGGCCACCGCACTCAACACAGTGCCTGCGGCTTGATGGTGAGCTCAGCCCTCAGGTGAAGCACACCATTCACAAAATAGTGGCTGTCCTCTGCCATGAATGAAGTCCATGGCATCTGAAAGAGGTTGCGGTATCCGACTGCCTTCCCCCCAGTAAAGGTGTAATTGCCCTTGTACTTGCTCACAAACTCCCAAGCCGTAGGCTTTGACCTTGCCGCAAACTCATAGTCTACAGCGAAGCTGACAGAGCCCTTCTCTTGCATTCCCAAAAAGAGGCCGAAACAGTGGAATGAGCTCTGTTGGTCCATGTTGCAATGGGCAGAGAGGAAGAAGCCTTGGCCCCCAAGATGGAAGGCCTGAGAGTAGACACGGCCGGTGGGAAAGAGTGCAGCGCATTCCTCGCGCTTCAGGTCGAGGAAGACAATGCATTGTGTGTGGGGGGAATCGAACTCGACTACCTTCACGGGGCGGTACTTGTAGGCACGCTCAGCGAAGCGCCGGTTGGCGGACTCCTCAGCCATGAGGGCCCGCTGCCTGTGAGGAGTCTCTGCCTTGAAGAAAAGGGCGTCCATCACAAGCTTGGTGGCTAGGTCATGGTCGAAGTCGTTGCAAGCTAGCACCTTCTTCAGCTTGCGGCTTGACATGTTGGGGAAGCGGATGAGGCGGCCGAGGCGTGTGCCAAGGACCTCGCGCCGCTCCTCGAGCCTGGGATACTGCACGCGTGCCCACTTAAGGACAAAGTCATACACAGCATCTTCATTTGCTACTTGCAGCTCGTCGCTCGATAGCACTGCTTCGATACCGGGTAGAGGGAGGGCCATCACCTCCTCCTGGAACCTGGACATACAACATCTCATTATTCCAAGTGTTTCCTTCTTGTTAAAAAAAACGATAACATGTATGATATGTTTATGAAAGTGTCAGATGAGAGATGGATGAGTCAGCACAAAGGTCGGGTGCTTTACAAAGTTGTAAAAACACTGACAAACCAAAAATGAAAAGAAAACAGAGAGGCCTTGTACAGACAAAAGGTGGGGGCATTACATAAACAGGAACTTAAAAACCTTGCAAGAGAGGTAGAGAGAAAAAAGGAAAGGTGAGGAGGGGAAAAGGTATGAGAAAAGGAGAGTAGAGAGGGCTGGAAAGGAAATCAACAAAACAAGCTAGAGGGGAAATGAAGGGTGGAAAGAGAAGTGGAGAGGATGGGAAGAAACAGAGAACTGTAAGAAAGCGATAGAGATGGACAAGATTGGGGAGATAAAAGCGATGAAAAGGTAAGTAGGAGATGGAAGAAAATAGACGAGTTAGGAAAAAGGGAAAAGGTAAGTAGAGATGGAAGAGAAAGAAGGGAGAGAAATGTTGGGAGAAAAATAGAGTAAAAAAGACTAAGCAAAAGGAGAGAGAACATTATAGAAAATGAATGGTAGGGTCAGAAGGATGACAGAACAATTAGGCAGTTTACGTATCTCAAGACTGCCCCTCCTTTAGCTAAAGCAACAGCTGCTGTATTGGCCTCCTGCCAACTATGATGGAAGTCGACTTGAAGAAGCCTTCACAAGTGAAATATATGAAGAAAATGGGAGAATTTTGCAAGGGACCAGAAGACTTCCCTGAGGCCCATAAGGAAACATTTTTGGAAGCACAAGAGATTTCAAAGTGTTTTAGGAATCGGAAGCACAGTTGTGAGCAGCCAAAGACTCCTATGGTAGGAAGCGCCTTTCGTACAATGCATATCGCAGGAATCAATAATCATATTTTTTTGGGAATCGCACATCAACCCAATTGAAATCAAGGTTCCTACCTTTTCTGAATCGTATACCCAACTAAATGGAACCGTATCGGAAATCATCAAGAAACAAGTTTCATAGGGAAAAAGGTTTGATGTAAAGATGTTCTCCCTGGGATGAATTGAATCCATAGTTGTTGGAAGTACAAGAGATTTCAACGTGTTTTAGGAATCGGAAGCACATAATTGTGAGCAGCTAAAGACTCCTATGGTAGGAAGCGCCGTAAGTACAATGCATATCGCAGGAATCAATATTCATATTTTTTGGGAATCGCACACAAACCCAATTGAAATCAAGATTCCTACCTTTTCTGAATCGCATACCCAACTAATTGAAACCACATCGGAAATCATCAAGAAACGAGTTTCATAGGGCAAAAGGTTCGAAGTTCAAGAGTAACATTAACCAAGAATTCCTTGGTATTTGAACCGATGTATTGAGTACGCTTATGCAAGGTTTCCCTGGGTATTGAAATCAAGGTACTCGATGGTCCTAAAATCTTGCACAAGGGTTGCCTTTGTATTAATATTCATATATTGAGTAGCCTCAATCATGGTTCCCTATAGATATTGAATCAAAGGTTGAGTGCCCTAAAAAATAGATTTTTGATTTACTAAGGTTCTAGATTGAATAAAGAAAAGTACTTGATTATTAATAATGAAACTTTAATAACAAGATATTAAATTTGAATTTAAGAATCATATTGTGTAGAATTTATAAACACCCAGAGAGTTTTTAGACACTGATCATCAATTAGGAATCATATTATGTAGAATTCATAAACACCTAGACAGTTTTTAGACACTGATCATAAATTAGTTAAAAAATGAAGTAACAGAATGTTTCACTATTCCACAAAGGAATCGGTATTCGCGTTTACAAAACATACAAATATTATCTCATATATACTTGAAAATGGGATTTTGTTTTTGATATACATACTTGAATTATGAGATTTTGCCAAGACTGGATTCTAAATAACTGCGATCAATATTCTTAAAAATTGGAAGAGACACTCTGTGTTCATTGAATCACAGTTTTGTGCAATTATGAACCACAGTATATTTGATGTTGTGGAATCTGGAGTCCAAAAAAGTCGGATCAAGATACCATAAAGGTGGAAGCAAGTTTCCTAACTTTTAAGGAATCAGGTTCCATGAAGATTCGTTGACCGAATTGCCAACTCAGATACTGATGCAGAATTGCCACCTTTAGTGGAAGATTCCAGTAACCATCGTTGACTCTTTTCGTCCCTTAGAGAATGGCATTTGCTTCTGCCCAAGATGAATCCCCAAAGCCATAATACCCAATGAAAGTTGTTAGTGTCCCCTTGTGAATCTTGTAAAATACCCCCCATAACCACAATAGCCAGGTGGTTATCAAGGGAGCATCCCTCAATGTTATGTTTGATAACAGCTAGGCTTGGCGTATCCAAGAGGTGGATCTAGACTTCTGTAAGGGTTTGAGGGTGAGAATGTAGGCCCAATTGCATCTAAAATTTGCCATTGAGAGAGATTTAAACGCTTTGAAGTTCCTTGCCCATGAGAAAATGAGAACTCTTGCATATTCAGCAGTGGCCTAAGCTGTTATATTATTGCTATGAAAAATTCTGCAGTTTTGTTCTTCCCAAATAGCCCAAAAGTGTAGTAAGAATCGAAACTGTCCACAAAAATAGGCCCATCTACATGTAGGGAGGTGAATAGAAGTCTATGAATAGCTTTTTTATGGACTTTTCGGTGACCCATAATCAATTGAAATCTTGACCTATAACCAATTGAGATATTGCAGAAGCCTAAGCCAAATCAAGATAAAATAGCAACGATGTGGGAATAGATGGTTGTGGGTTTCTTCAGCTTCTTCACAGAGGAAGCAACCATTTGCAAAGCTGAAACCTCTTCTCATCAAATGATTGATCATTAAATTATGTTGAGAAATAACAAACCAAGTGAATCTTGGACTTTGAAATAGCTGAGGGGTCAACCACGCTTTATTACAGACGGTAGGGTTGGAAGAAACAATACAAAGGGCTTTCTTGAACGAAGGAATAGAAAGCTATAGAAATCTGAAGAAACAGAAATCGCCGAGCTGATTCCACTATGGCGGAAACTCTCACTCTCTTGGAAGGTCTCAAGAACTTCAATCCACTTTGGAGCACAGTCCTAATCGAGGAAGGAGACTCCAAAAATATCATCATTTGGGCCTCAGGCGAAGCTACCCCCCTTAGAGTTTAGCAGATGTTTTTTATCAAAATCTTCGATATATGCAGGCATATACACATCTCATGGGTTCATACTTGGCGTGAGGCGAACCACACAGCCGACACACTTGCTAAGGAAGGAGCATCTCGTGTGGTAGATTAGGGAACCTTTTCTTCTTGTTTTCTATGGTCCTTTGTTCTTTTGTACCTACTTGCTTTTATAGCATTTTTTGCCCCTCGCAACCTCCTGGGTGGTTTTTGTATTAGAGCTCAGTTGTGGGAAGCCTATTTTTTGTGACTTGTGCAACTCCTTACTCAATACAAACATTAGTGGTTTCAAAAAAGAAACAGAGCCGCACGTGAGTCTTTCGACCACCCTATCACTGCCACTATTGGTAACAGAGAAATTGTGAAGAGTGCTATGAGTATTCAAGAGGTCAAGGATCTCATAACCATGCAACGCTCGATTCCAGGTGGTATTTATGTCTGAATTTGGAAAACATTAAGCTACAGTGGCATTTTCCAGGTGGTACCTACGATTGAATATTGAAAACATTGAGCTACAGGGGTATTGGGGTAATTTGCTATGTTAAAAAAGTTGTGCTATTGATCTTTTAGAGGTTGATGACCAACCCAGGTATCCAGCCAGAAAAGGACCTTCTCTCCTCTATTGCTTTGAATTTAATAAGCCTTTTCCCAAGATAAGAAAATCTTCTTCTTCTTAGACTCTCCCCCAGACCAAAGCAAGCTTTCATCAACTTTTCTGAGTCTTTAATGATGGATGCCGGCATAAGAAACAAAGACAAAAATAGATGGGAATGTTGGACAAGGTAGCTTTGATTAGAGTGACTCCTCTCCAACAGAGAGAAATCGAGCTTTCCTAAAGGCAAGCCGCCTATGGAATTTTTTGATATTGGGTGCTAGAGGGCTTTGCAAGGTTTCCTATGCACCGAGGCAATCCTAAATATTTGGGAGGAATACAATTCTACCCTGAAACCTAGAGTATTTGCAAAAGCTTACAATTGATCGTGAGGAACAACCACTGCAGTAACTTTTGATTTAGCCACGTTGGTTTTCATTTAGGAGGCCATCTCAAAATATCACAGAAAGAGCCAAAGGCTATCGACTTGATCTAGGGACACATCACAGAAGATGCGCAATCCTTACCCAGAACCTCATGTGCACAATCTGTCCCATGAATTCCTACTTGCTCCTTGCAAAAACACACCTAACAAAGTGAACGTCTCCTACCCGCTCAATATCGATTCCATGCCGAAGCTCCTCTCTACAAATTTCTAACTGAGACACCATTGCTAATAGCTGTGTTCTCCCTTCCACTGACTAGTAGCCATGCCACTTGCCGTTTCCCTCTTACCAATGCCAGCCACACCAGCAAGAATTGAGGCTTGTCCCAATGGAAGGAATGTGTTCACTGGCATTTGCTACATAATGTTCAAGGAGTCACGGTTCGACAAAACCAACAGAAGGCTCAATGTTCTGCACCATGTTACAAAGATCCATTTCCTATTTGGACGTTTCATAATCTTTTATGAAGTAGGTTCTTTTTAAGATCAGATCCATATACCCAAATGCCAACCAGGCCGAAAACTAATGAGATTTAAAGTGTTTTAATACAACATACACTAATGATGCAAGGCCATTTCAAGATTATCAAACTGAAGGAATTACTTGAGAAATGATAGACTAATAATCAGTGCTATGTGAATAAGCCAAGAATAGGTTAATTTCCAGTGCAGGTATTTAACATTCAGCCATATGATAAATATTGGCCGGGCCAATTAATTACTAATTGAGACCACTAGAGCTTACATAACGTAATGAGTTATTACTTTTAAGTACACAGCTGGCATATGATATTCCATGTATTAGCCTTAAGATATGCATTTCCAAAAAGTAGTCCGGAAAATCTACCCTTCCCCATATACATGTGTGGACACATGGTCCAATTCCATGTCAAAAGCAAACTATAATCCTAATAAATAGTGTGATAACAACCACAACCAATTAATAGCCGTTTCAAGTAAGAAAGAAAGCTTACTTAGTCAAGTCCTTGTAACGTTTGGCGAGGTACTGCTTAGCTGCATCTGTAAGAGGTTGGACTGCTTCTGCCATCAAAACACTGGAAGGAAGCTCAAGATAGAGAAGAGCAGATTCTGGTGTCATTGGGAGATTACGCAACAACCGGCTGCAGTGGCGCATGCATGAAGCAACCTCAAACTTGTCAGCAGCCATCAGTACATCTAGCAATGCTGGAGCAGTAGTAGTTGACAGTGTCCCACTGTACATAAAATTAAGTAGCTCCATGAGGGCAGCCTCCTCTGTTAAAAAATACAGTATATCAGGGTCAGTGTTCCTTTCTTTTATATGACTTTTTCCACATACATTTCAATGGAAGACCCATGAAGAACGAGAATATAACAATTGGCTTCTATTATAAAAGCAGTTTTTAAATTTTAGTTCACCAGATATGCAAAAGGCCCAAAAAAAATGAAACCCCTGAAATATAGAACCCAAATTAGGACTCAATTCAAAATTTCAGTCACTATTCTATTCCTCTGCTTTATGAATAAGTATGGATTAGATGGAAGTACTTACTCTTTTTAAATTCCGAATATGGCCATATTGGCCCATGTGCTTTTTGTAACATACAATGCCATATAAACGTAAACTATCAGCTGAGAACAAGTTAATCATAAGGATATGGTCCAAAATAATAGATGAAGAAATTAAGATGCAAAAAAGTTAATCATCTGGGTCACAATGTACAAAATACTCATTTATAGAATAGGAAAAGAAGCCTACTTTTTTTGACAATACAAGGGCACAGGTGATTTGGTCATTCATTTGCAAATAATATTAACTCACCAGATGCATTGATACGTAATGTCACATCTCTCTGCTCTGATTCTCGCATGCCATTTGAAAAGAGCTTCAAAAAAATGTCAAGTGTTGAGCAATTCTAGTAAAAAAGGTACATAAACCAGTTGGGAACATGTATGTATCTCACCTTATAAAAGAAAGGGCTTTTTGCAGCTAAAATAGCAGAGCTGATGTGTATCTTTGTAACTCTTAGAACGGTCGAACAATCCATGCTCGAAGACGAATCACTGCTGTGTGCCGCCTCATCTTCTACAAGGTAAAAAGGTAAGCTAGACTACCAGTAACAGTTAAAAAAAGAAAGAAAGCAGCATACTGCCATAAGTGAATGTATAACTCACATCTTATGCTATGAAGCATTTTCTTTAAAAATAATAAAAACCACAAACTTCCAAAAAAATCAGGATTTTTGTGGAAACCCTTTATATTTTGTGCTAGAGCCACTAATTCTAGATCAAACTCATTTAAATTTTTAAAAATCGTCATTTATAGACACTCTTCATTTTTGAATGATAACATCTGAACCTGTTCAAATCTTAACAGTAATGCAATTTTCATAAATTTCTTCCTAGATAATTAAAATCTCGTGACCTTCCAAAATTTCAGAATTTATTAAAAGATTCTTCAGGTATTATGCTCAAGGCAATACATTTATACCAAAGATTGAGTAAAACAATAAAATGTATTCATGGTTACAGGCTCCTCAGGTTTGCATAATGACTTCAATCCACATTGGATATAATAGAAATGTGCAGATGATTAGAAATGTGTACATGTGATCCTATTATTAAAGTTGCAAGGTACTAATACCATTGGGGCTCGTAAGCATTGCAAAACCTGAAGGTGATTCCACCATTGCAAAATCTTCTTCAAAACTAAACGGTTATGTAATTTTCATAAATTTATTTCAAGATAGTTAAAATCTCATAACCTTCCAAAATTTCAGAATTGATTAAAAGTTCTTCAGGTATTATGCTCAAGGCAATACATTTATACCAAAGATTGTGTAAGACAATAAAATGTATTCATGGTTACAGGCTCCTCACTTTTGCATAATAACTTCAATTCACGTTGGATATATTAGAATGTGCAGATGATTAGAAATGTGTACATGTGATCCTATTATTAAAGTTGCAAGATACTATACCATTGGGGCTCGTAAGCATTGCAAAACCTGAAGGTGATTCCACCATTGCAAAATCTTCCTCATCCTGGTTTTCATATGTCACCCCATCCTCAATGTTTGGCTGATTAGTGTTCAATATCTGATCCCCGTGGCATACAGTAAGTTCCGACACTGGAATAACAAAAAAAACAGAGCAGGAACCATCAGCATAGAGCGGTTCCACCAGGGTTTCAAAAATTACAAGCAGAGGCATATAGAGTGAAGTTGGGCCCAGTCCAAGTCAGCTTGCCATGTCCCATCTTTAAAAAACCATATTATTTCGAAGAATATTGGCTGGATTTTTGAAGACATGGGCATACTTGCTACAGACTTCACAAACTCAGGTCAGATTCAGGTAGACAAAGTTTGGATTATCAGTAACTGACAAGGTGCCAGTTTCGAATAACTTGCGTGAGACGCAGTGGGACTTGCCAAGTTTTAACACTGACATGAACAAATACATTGTGGCAAACAAAGCAAACATGAAAGCCTTGATCAGCAGTTGTCTGATTTAACTCAAGTTGGATGCACACAGGTTTGTATCCCATTTAGAGATGTTAACTTTAATTTATCATACATAGGAAACAAACATGACAGCTGGAATGGTAGTTGTCAGATTCAACTCCGGCTGGAAGGTCTCTGCTTTGGATCCTGTTTGGAACTGCAAGCCTGCAACTAACATGGATACATAGAACAGATCGGCAGACAGGACAGAGATCTGCGGATAGAACAGATGCTAAGGCATGAAAACAGAATCCTAAGTACATGTGTTGGTACTGTGCAGACAGTATAATGAAAAGCTCATTCATCATTCTTGAGATGTTACTATGGCTGCCAGTGCTGATGAATATAGGTTAGATGGAAAATGATGTATGTGAAAGTAAAAATATAAAAATGATCAGTGTTAAAAGACTGAACTGAGTTACTCAGCCTTGGCAGGTTGTCTACATACTCGGATACATGGGACATGGCAAGTACTCTACGGACCCACTCAATTACAGTAGACTCACCCGGGTACTATAATCCTCGAGCTAGTCCGGAAAGTACTCAACCTAGTACTGCTACAGAGAGAAAAGAAAAAAAGGACGGAAATCCCCTTTTTATCTCTCCCTCTCTCTCTCTCCTATCTCAATCCTAATTGCTTGAACCTTCTGTCACTTTCTTCAGAGCTCCGCTTAACCTTCTTTCTCACTCTTCTCTATTCATAAACCTACTCTCTCTTACCCTATTTCTCAATCTTAGTTTCACAAACATCTTGAATCTCTTTCTCCATCAAACCGTAATTTTTTGAATCCCTCTATCTCGAAGCCCTAATTTCTGGATCAATCTAGTATTCTAAGAGTTTTTGTATGAATTAGGAGGAAGCCATATCAGAATTATTGGACGAAGAAGGCATGAATCTTTCTCTCCCTCTCTCTCTCTACCAAGCAAAGTCCCCCTTCCCTCTCCCTACGGAAATGCTCTTTCTCACTCTCGCGCTCCCTCTTCGCAAATTTTATTTCCCCTACTTTTCAGTTGTTTTGTGGTTTTGCGTATATTTTTAAAGGCATTTTCATGCCTCTTCAGTACTCAGGTGAGTCTACTCGGACCTGAGTTACTAGGCTCAGGCAGGGGCCGAGTCCCAAGCCCAAGCCTAGGCTGATATTTCAACCGTGAATATTATCATGTGCCATATAGAAAAAAAATTAATCGTGCTGGTAATGGCAACAAATGATTCATGCAGTACTGATATTTTTGAATTATTAAAATCTAGTGCAACTGGCAAAAAAGCCTCAGCTGGGATACAATTTATCAGTCAAGCTACAATTGTCGCATGAAGAACAGCAGTTAGTAACTCAAGTAAAACTCCAAATCTCTAATGCTAAGTTAGTTAAAACTCACCGAGCATGATTGGAGATAGCAGCCTGTTTCCAAGGTTTTTGTTCATTTATTTGAGGAAATTTATCAAATTACCTACGAGAGATTGACAATTCAACACCTTACCCATATCTTTTGATTCAATTTCAAAATACCCATTGAAAAAAACATGGTTTTGAGTTGGAATAGTTGCAAGTTGGTAAAATCTTAAATACTTCATCTCTAATAGGCATCTTGATAAATTTTCTCTTATTTTCAGATAAGACCGAGTCTCACTCTTACGCGGCCGAGTTGGTTTGCCTGACTCTGGTTCGGGCCCTAGCAACTTCTGACCCAGGTCCATAGTTCAAAACTCCATTAATTCCAATCAGAATAATGCTTGACCAGACAAAAAGAATAAAATAATCATAAATTCATTATCTATTAGAAACAAAAAATGTATTCCGTTATTCATTCATGCCTGTCAGGGTAGCATGTCCCCGTGTCATGCCAAGTTGCACAACAGGAATGAAGAGAGGCTTGGTTTCCTTTCCGCTAACTCCTCTCTCCTCTACCACATGTCCACCCTAGAAACCTTTTTTTTTATGGAAGTACCTCTATATTGGTGTGCGTAGAATTTATACTTGATGTGTGCTATAGACACAATGTTACAAAACTGTTAGTGGCCACAAATATATGTTACTAAAAGTTTATCCATTCATAGTGTCCAAATGGAATGTGACAAAATTACCTGGTGAAACGATTAAACATCAAATATCAGGTAACATATGACGATGCATGACAGTTATTCTGTAAGTTGCACTAGAATAATTATTTATTTATGTTAAGTGGGGAAAAAAGAGGTGTAATATTTTTTTGTAGCCTATCATTTATCATATCTTAAAATTTTCCATTTCCAAAATCTTCATCTGAACTCAAAGATACAAAAAACTGACAAGGAAACATCTCCTTAATACATGCAACATGCACCATATTTCTCTTTCTTATGTGGTTTGTAGTTTCCTGAATCTCCCCCAACGCCCCCCCCACCCCAAAAAAAATAATAACAATAACAATTCCAACAGTTTCCACATATTCTTTGTAATTTACTTGCGTTGTCTTTTGTGATGCAAGCCACACTTTAGTCCACTCCATAAATTCAAAGCTAGGACATTGAACGGACTCAATTCAGTAGCTGGATGATTTGAATTTCATTTATACCGCTAGAAAGTTTGTAGGTGCTTCTCACAAAGAGCAAGGCCACTTAAAAAATTGAGCCTAGCAAATACAGGGATAAGCAAAGCAACTTTCCTCTATGATAGACAATGATGAAGAGAGCCCCCAAGGGAACAACTGGATGCAAATGATCACCTTTACCTTTTTCCTTCCTTTCACATTTCTACTTCTAAAGTCCAATAAAGAAATCAAGTTACTAAAAATTTATAATGATTGAATAGAAGAAAGAATCCCCTTTCAAATACCCAACATATCCATACCAATCTTCTAAAGTGCCCATATTTCTACTTACATAATTTGGGACCATTTGGATGTGCATATAAGACAACATCAAGATAACTTATACACTCTAAAACCTCATCAGCCGCTTGTGGAGTACATAAATGATCATCATTATCATCATCATCCAAGCTTTCTCCAAACTATTGGGAGTCTGCTACACAAATCTTGTTTTGCCAATTGGTTCAAAATTCATGAAAAGATGTGGCAAAGTTTTACGGGCTGCTTACCTAACATAACCCTCCTTTATCTGAGCTTGGGACTGACATGACCGGCTTGGGACCGGCAATGGCAAAGTTTGTGGAGCGCATACATCCACAGAAAAATTACAAGCTCATTTAAAAATGATTCAATACGGATAAGTCCAAGTCTTTGAAATCTTTTTAGCAATGCATGTCTAAGTTCCCACAACATTGACTTATAAGAGTTCCAAATTGCCATTTGTATATAGCCATGTATACCAATTTGCCAGCCAACAGATTGGGCCTCCTATTCTTATGTCCCATCTAGACTGCCCTAATTTTACAAAATTTATCAAAGATCTTAATAAAATCAATCCCCAAGGCAACAGTGTATCTTTCTCCAAGCACCAGCTGACACTGATTGCCACCCCAAAATATTCACCAAGCAAAAGAAACAGGAGTGTGCAACACTGAACCAATGCTAAGGTGCTAAAACCTCCACAGAGATCACATCATATAGTCACACACTAACAATAAATAATAAAGCTAAAGCAAAATGGTTTTGCGATGATATGGTATCATCTTATGGGCCAATAACGTCCATTATAATAAGCCCACTGTCAAATCCTTAGGGTCCAGGTCAGGCCCCAAAGTGCATATGAGCATGTGGGACCTGCTTTAAATAAGGACGTTCTATAGTAATACCACGACCTAAACCTTGATGAGTTAAAGCCTTAGGGAGGAAGAAAGGATTGCCCATTGAAGTAGTTTTGATGTACAAAAGATTGAACAAATCCGACCCTCATATTGTGGGAACCAATCATTGCATCCACATGAAGTGTAGCACCACACCAATAACTGACTTCCAAAATATACCAAAAAATATACTCGGTCAATACTCAATCACAAGAAACTTTGAAACAGAACCAATGTCCTCGATAGTTCTTAGGGATATGACCTCACCAAATCATAGATTAATCTGCATATACTTGGTCAATACTAGAAAATTCCACACTCAAATATTTATTCTTCATCAGCTTTTATTCAACTATTCATTGAAATTCCTCGACAGTTCTGACAAATCACTATGCAAAAACTTGGTTCGGATTTGGGACTCGGCCCCTGCCCGAGCCGAGGAAAAAGTTGCAAAAATATGTGTGCATTTAAAATTTAAAAATATTTAAAAATCAGTAATAATTGATTGTATATGTGCATCATTTATCTTTTGCATGATGGAAAAATGTTCATAGAAAATGGAGAATGAAAAAAATTGATATATAGCTTGAAACAATTCATACAAATCCATACGAAGGAAAATTTAAAAATTAGAGAATATAACAAGAAAAATTCGTAAATCGTCATCAAAAACATCAAAATTATATATAAAAATATTGATACATAATTTCTTAGCAATTCAGTAAAATATATTTATAGTTTTTATATTTTTCTTGTATACCCGATTTTGTACACAGAACTCTCCTCGGCAGGGTGCTGAGGCAGAGTTACTCAGGCGAGTCGGATTTCAACTCAACCGAATTTTAAAACAATGCCATAAACTATTTAATTTCCTTGTAAAGTTCAAAAAACAAGGATTCTTGTATGAAAATTAAATCACTTATAATTGAACTAGAAGAGCTTAAACAATTCTTCTGAATATGGTATCAATGCTTAACACCATATTTACTTGCATAACTGGCCTCTATAATAATTTATATTAATCATACAACATTCTTTTTCAAAAATTCCAATCAGGAAATGATGTACTTGTCTCACCCATAGCATCATAATTCCAAAGAATCCATTCCTATAAAACGATTCACAAAGAAAATTGAACCATTGATAACTTTTGCAATGACGAACTATACTCAAATCTAGAGATAGAAACTTTTGAACTATAGGTAGATTGAATTATACTCTATCCAATATTCCTAAAAGGGAAGTATATGATGGTACCTGATTATATCTTGCATGGATACAAACAGCTCCTGAGACCATCTGACATCAACAACAGATGGCTGAAGAGTGTCTTTTCACAGCTCAAAGTCTATTATAAGTTTTGATGGAAAACGAATAGAGAGCTGAACCTCCCCAACTATCCATTCTTGACGTTGAACAAGTACTATAGTATCCTTCCCATCTTAAAATGGTGGACGGATAGAAATCTCATTTCATAATTTATAACTGAATAACAAATTTGATAATGATGCACCATTCAAAAAAATAAAAAATAAGCTCATTTAGAAACCTATATTCCATAAACTCGGAAAAAGCTCAGAAAGGTGAATTCTTGGATAATATACACATATAATGCTTTTTACCTTCAGGGTGAGGTTTATATATGGTGCCTTCTTTATATTGTAGAAGTAAGGCACACCTCTAAACTTTGCTTGGAGATGTAGTTTCAGTGTCGAAAATATCATGATAGCTTGAAAATCTATTTTCATCCGTAGTTATGAAATTTAAAATTCCAAAAATGGTACAAATCAAGCAAATCTATACATACTTGACAATCTTGAAAACAGTCAGTCCACAAAACTTGTTACAAGATGCACTATTTTTAGGACTTGACATTCATTTTCTTTCATATTCATACATAGTAAGTCGGGATGACCAATTGGAGAGTTATGCGACATCGGAACACTCTCTTCTAGAGGATTTTTGAGGTGCACCTTACTTCAGTAGTACGAGGTTCACACCTTATGTAATCTTTACGAGGTTCACACCTTATGTAATCTTTTTCCGTACTTTTAATACAATATAATCACCTTTTTCAAGGTGGTTCCACAGATAAATCCCAATTGCCTCCCCTTCTTGAAGAGAAATCAAGAGCAATCAAGAGAAACAGATATTCCTCTCTGATAGCAGGTACTACATACTACAAACATAAGAAATGAGGAAATTGGGGTCTCTTTTAAAGGTTCGATATTTTTGATATATATTTATGGAGCCATAACAACTCGATAATTTTGTTGTTTCAAAATGGACAGGTAACTTGCCAGCCCCAAAATAGGAGCTGAGACTTGGAATAAATGTTATGTCTTTCTATTTTTCGAGAATACATGTTACATCTCTCTCTGTACTCTGGTCCAGTGTGTACAGAGATCCATTGGTCGCAGCTGACCTGCAGTTTTTGGAAGGACAGTAAACTTTTTGGGATTCTTATCCTTTTGTATGTTGCGCATTACTCCTAAGCCTGATGGCCCCCAAGAGATTTGGTGATTGTTGTGTGCCAAAAGGTTCATATGCAGAGTACCAAAAATTTAAACCCAATAATTCTCATTGTTCTCAACAGTAGTATGAAGAAACCCAATACAAGGAAGCGACCAACACCTCAAACTGATAAAATATTCCACCTTACAGAAGCAAAAATGAGAACCAACTTACTTTATAGCATACAAATCCAAAACCACAAAACTTTACAAATATGAGATGATCATCATGCCTTTTTCCAACTTTACAAATATCAGATAATATATTTAATTCCCTTCCATCCATCATACCAACAAGAATAAACCAAGAGAAAAAGAAACTGGAGAAAAGAGAAAGAAAGAAAAACAGTTCATCATGTACCTCTCCTGAATCGTATACCCATCAAACTTTCCAGGATAGCTATAGATAATTTAAAGGAAATGAAGAAATACAAAAAATGAAACGATCAATTGGAGACAGAGAGAGAGAGGGACAAAAACGCCTACCATTGTTGTTCTCTCTCTTGATCTCTTCCCTGCGGCGCTTGCGATTCCTGGCCCAATCAGCGATGCTATTGCAACCCTCGCCCTCAGATTTGCTCTCCATCAACCCTGATATGATCTCTATCCTGAGAATGCGGTCCGAGAAATTGCTATCATTGAACGCAAACGCAAAATTGGCCGTCGAACCCCCAGCCCCACTCCCACCTCCCGAATACTCAGAATCCATTACACCTCGAGGAGGCTCGAACAGATCTACCCCTGTTTCCTTCTTCATCCACCCCCTCTCTTTCTCTATGAAACTGAACAAGAGGAGGAGGAAAAAGGGGAGATTTTAGTACAGGAGGAGAGGGGAACCCTAAAAAGTTGATGGCAAAGCAGAGCTCCAAATAGAAAAAGGGCAAGAAACGAACCCTTACTTTCACGCCTTCTCTCTCTCGATTTGTACAACTGTCTGAAATCGCCTTCTCTAAAATTTGTAACACTGAACCAAAATGAGGTAACTATCCAATCCGCACCCGTTTCTTAAGGACGCATGGATACGTCAGTGCGGTGCACTGGCTATAAGGGTTCATGCATCCGTTGTGTTGTGCATCATTATTCGGTAATGCTTTGTTGGCACCTCTCCACTATTTCAGATTTCACCCCATGTAACAATCAAATTCCTACTTCCCTGGTGTGACTACCAAAATACGGGGTGTACAAAAATTATTCTCAATTATTTTTCCCTTGTCACTACAAACATAAGGTATTTATCTTATGAAACCAGCGTTTAAAAAATCGCCAAGTCGAACCGGACTCGCCCGGTTCGACTCGGAATTCACTAAAAAGGTACCGGATCGGTTCAAAAACCGGGAATCGTCCGGTTCTAGAGAGAACCGGACGATTCCGCACAGTGACTCGCCGATTCACTGTGCGGAATCGGCGAGTCCGTAAAGAATACGGGTTGCACAGTGTTCTTCACGGATTTTTTCAAATTTGTCATTTTTTTATCATTTTTTTTGTTTTTTTCGGCATGTGATCTGTTTTGCAGGCTGTAAACAGCTTTATTCAGATTTTTCAAGGATTAAATGGTGGAAAAATTGGTTGTTTTTGGATC